CCGCTGCCGCGATGAGCTTTTAAAAACTCTGCCGCTGCCGCGATGAGTTTGTAAGAGACCTGCCGCTGCCGCGCCGCCATGGACATCTCTGCTCCCTCTCTCTATCTTTGCTACATCATTAGTCAAAGCAAATTGTGAGAAAGTTGAAGATCATAAGAATAAATGTCTTATCGATATTCTTTATAGGAAATAATTCAATGTGAATATGACCTTGAACGTTCAAATTCTTCATTGAAACAACAAGAAGATTTGTTACGTATATTAACTCAACGTACTGATGATACAGAACGTATTATTCAACAACGTCGAAAACGAATAATTGAATTAGAAAATGAAGTAGTTCAATTAGATAATTTATTGATTTATAGTAAGTTAAAATTTTTTAATTCAAAATGTTAATAATCCAATAAATATATATATATATATAAACTTTTAGTTAATAATTAAATAATAATTAGATGAGGTTAGCTTTTCATCACATTGTTCGCATGTCTACACATATATGTGTATATTTCACTTAAAAAAAGAAATCTTTTGAACAAAATTGAAAAATTTGGTTTCCTTTTTTTTTTTTTTTTTCTTCAATAGGTCTGGCTAAATCACCATATCATTTTCATTCAAATTCTTCAACTGATATTGTTAAATCAGGTCATCTTGAACTTATGAATAGTACTTTATTAAAATTATGCCCAAGTGGAATTTGGGTGTAAAAGAAAAGAAAAAAAAATTTGAATTATTTTTATAAATATATAAATAAATAAATATATATGTATATATATCTATTCAAATAAATAAACAGTTTTTTTTTTTGTTAATATCGAATTCGATCATGAATCCAATCGAGATAAGCTGATACACGCGTATAAACTCCAGGTAACATTTTTTGTGCACAACCTATACCATAACTAACAATACCAACAAGTTCCCAATGTTGTTCATTAAAGAACATTAATGGTGATCCACTATCAGCTTGACATGTATCAGATAAACCATTTTCATAACCAGCACAAAATTGTTGATCAGGTGAATCAATTTCTTGATTATAACATAAATTTGTATTATTTTCATATTTAATTATTGGTAATATAGGAAGATATGTTTGTTGAAGTTGTATTGATATTTGTGAATTTGGATTTATTAATGGATCAATTGTATGACCCCAACCAATAGCAATAACTGTTGTATTCACTTGTGGATATATATATGATGTAAAATGAGGAAGACATAACATTTGTATAGTATCTGATTGTATAACTGATCGATCTAATCGTATTAATGCAATGTCATTTTTATAAGTATTAGGATTGAAATCATTATGTAAAGTAGCTTTTCGAATAGAGAATAGATTTTCATAAGTAACATCATTTAAATTAGTTATACCAATACGTATTTCAATATTTGCAATATCAATTGGATTATTTTTATCATTTGAATAAAGACAATGTGCTGCTGTTATGATATATTCTGGAGCAATAAGTGTACCTCCACATATATGAATACGTTTAGGACCATAACTAACCATCCATGGCCATGCACCTTGATTAGATGATTGTCCATTGATGATTTTTAAAGTAGATTTAATTGGACAACCACATGGAATTGATGATGTTATTGTTGACATGTAACAAGATTCATTGATAGGAGGTGAAGATGTACTTGAAAGGATATTAATGGTTGTATAGGTATTAGATAGAAATATAGTTTTTGTTGTTATAATAGTAATAATAAGTACGATAATGAGAAGAATAAAGAGAAGAAAAATTATAATGAGTATTGATCGATATTGACAAATTTTAGTATAGATTTGAAATAGTTTTTGCATTTTTTTTTCTGTATGGACAAATGAAAAGAGAAGATCTTGTCGATCAATGTTTGATAATCTCTTTTGCATATGCATATATATATATGTATGTATTTTCATCGAGCACAACAAAAAGGCATATCTGACGTTTGATATTCAACGATAGAAATGATGCGAGACTCATATGGAGATTATATTTGTTTTTTTTTCTCTACATTTCAATGAATATTTCTCGAATATATCTAATAGAAAATATGATGATTAGAATTGAAGAAATTATTTTTTATACGATCAAGAGTTTGAAATAAATAAAAGTTATATATATATATGAGGAAAATTATTTTAATTGATTGCTTTTTATTTCAGGACATTATCTCATCATATCTAATTCAAAGATAAAAAAAAAATTCATTTTAACAAAAGCCTAAATAACAAAAAATAAAATGATTAGACATAATTTGAGTTCCATGTTCAGCTAGTATTTTTTTGTTAATGAATTTTGCTTAGTTTCTCAAGAATGAACATCAATCAAAAGAAATTAAATAACTTTAAGTAAAAATACCAACACATGTCTTTGTTACACGTATGGGTGTGTTGGTTTTCCTTCAATCTCACTCATAGCCATCCCGAATATCAGGGGTGTGTGGATGTTTGAATCTTGTCTTCTCATGCACCATACTCACACCCACACCCCACTATGAGATCATGCCATAATCAAAACATATTCGGATTATACGAAATAGCTATGGCAGGAAAGGGTGCGGGTGTGTGTTTTAACTTTAATTCGAACTTGGCAGTTTGTTGTTCACTCTATCTGTTTTGAAGTAGATATATAAAGCAACAGTAATTATGTATTCTCTCATGGAAATCAGAAATAGAGTCATATATATGATCGGTCTTCATACATTTTGATTTATTAGAACACGTGACAATAAAAATAGAAATGTAGTCGTTCATTAGATTAATTATCATCAAGTAGTCAATTTTCAGCATGGCATAGAAACGTGATCAGAATACATCTCCAATAATCCATGTTAATATTGACAGAATTGTTGCGATTATTGTCCAATTGTTATATAGATCAGAGTGCAAACCCAATGCTTGACTTTTTACTGTTGTAGAATGAAAGAAAGATTTTTTTATAAAGTCATATGATATAATTGAATTTTACGTGTTGAAGTTGGAGAGCATGGTTTATTATCAATGATAGAAAACAATTGTATACGGTGATTCCAATTGTCACATACATACAGATTTCCTGCACTATCGAATGTCAAATCAGTCGGTGTATTAAATTGATTTGTTGCATTGCCTGAACCTGTTCTCCAATATCGTCAGATACAGTAAAATTTCAAATATTTTTTTTATGTTTTGAAAAAAAAAAGAACCATCATTGGTTTAGCTACTACAGATCTAAGCTATGGATATCAAATAGTGATGTTTCCTTTTAATATTATTGATTTCTATTCATCATAATTAATTGATAACAGCTTCCTGAAGTTTATCCCTGAAGGAAAATCTATATTTGTTCGAACATAAAGAGAAAGTATATTCAACGAGAAAAACTACAGTTAATTTTTTGTCATATCCTTCTCTGTCATGCACAAGTACCATGGCAAAAGCTATTATTTGTAATGCCAATTTTAATTAGAATAATGTTTTTGCCTCAAGGACAATATTAGTACTAGTAGTATCATTACTTTTATTTATCTTTTGGTTTCTCTCTCGTACTTCGAAGGAGCTGAGTTGAGATACTTTCGAAGACACAAATATGGACTGAGTCCATTCAAAACTCTCGCTCATACCTTGACCACCCGCTATGATATCGCCTACAGACGCATCTGGAAGCCATCGCATGATTCGATGATTTGATGTATCAGCCACATAAATAATTTTTGTTTGTTGATCAATCCAAACACCATTGGGCTCATCTAAGGATCCAGTATCATCACCCGGAGCAGATGTATTCGATCCAGCAACTCGAATGCCTGATATAGTATTCTTTGTCCATTTTTGAATTCTGTTATTATATGCATCAGCAACATACAAAACGTCGCTACTTCGATCAAAGTAAAGTCCATCAGGATTGTTGAGATATTCATCTGTTGTTCCCCTTTTATCCGTTTGACCAGCGACAACTGTTGTCGAATTTGTTTGAGCTAACCATTTCACTACTCGATGTCTATCTGCTTCTGACATGTAGACATTTTTTTCTGAATCTACCGCTACACCAAAACACGACCGACATTCATCACCTATTTGAATTCCTATTGATGCTCCACTTATCCATTTCTCGACTCGATTTCCAATGAAAACTGAAATATAAATTGTTGGTCCATCTTCGTCATCGTCAACATAAATCTTTGAAGGAGTATTGACATTAGATATAACAGTTGTAGCTAAATCCGATGATCGATTTAATGAAAACATCTGAACTCGTTGATTACCAAAATCAGCAATATACAACGTGTGGGTTCTTTTCATCAAGAAAATTCCTTTGGGTGTCGCCAGTTGATTCGGCGCATTGCCAGGGATTCCATTACCTATCACTGTTATACCATGTGGATTCCATCTTGCACAAGGACTAATCTCAACTGCTAACAAAGACACACTGCAGCAGTAAAAAACAATTACTTGAACAGAAACAAATGTCATTAAAACATTATTTTACTGATTTTTTTTTCATATGTAAACTTACAAACGTAGGTGATAATGTTTTGCATCTTTGACAATAACTCAAGAGAAAAAAGAACCGAGTTTTTGCATATGCAATATTGTACGACAGTACGCGTTATTCAAAGATAACCTGTGCCTATATCAATGGCACATGTATCAACAGTAGTTTTTTTCTTTTTTCTGACAAAAAAAACCATGTTGTATTCATTGATATCACAAGACTCTTTTCGTCTCTAAGAAATACTGAGATATTTTTTGCGTCATATTTATTTGAAACACATGGACAACTGAAGCTATTAGATCTATTTTGAAACTAGAACAAACCAATTTTGAACATACCATAAATAAGTTTTGTGCATTGTTTGATGTTGTGCAAGATCATAAATTAAATTCGATGTCGAAGGATAAGTGTGTGGATGAATAGAAGAGACGCATTCACACCAACACTCAAGTTTATTGTATTTTTATGTATACATAAAGATCCTGAACATGTTGTGCACATATTTAGATATATTAGAAGAAGAGAAACACGATAAATAAAAGATGAAAGAAAGAAAAGTAAGAAAGAATTGGGGATATTTTGATGGTGATATAAACGACCGCTAACACCTACCTACACTCACACCTCACGGTCACTCATTCTAGATTGATTGTGCTTAGACGATAGGAGGAAAAGATAGACCAAGATTTCATAAATAAAAGGACTATTTCAAAATTGGCTTCATCAAACAGATCTACACTTGATGAACGGTCAATAATAATTAAGGCCGAAAAAATATTTATTCAACATTAGACATTCTATTTTGTCAATTTCTCGAAACGGTTTCTATAATTTGTCAACTTCAAAAAAATTGGCATGTCACGACTACGTGTCATAGAATAATTTTGTTGTTTTCGGCAACATCAATGTTTGATTTTTGTCAATTTTCGAGCTTGCCATCCCCGGTGGTCTTGGACAACATGGAATTTCACATTTTCATCATGCGTTAAAAAAGTTTGTCCAGATGGTGTGTCGACAATTGCGGAGTAATGCACGAAAATATCTTCTGGAAAGCCAGGAACGTCGATAAATCCGTAACCTTTCTTGCAATCAAACCATATTACTTTTCCGTGTAATCGTCTCTCTGAATCCACTTCAGAGATGTTGTCATTCCTCAGACAATTTAGTGACTTTTCTCTTGCCAACCACAATTACTTCAAAGCATGAAAAGGTACTCGTTCTTCGGGTGACATTGCGAGCCATTCATGGTTCTCATAGAAATGACGACACATTGTTTGAATGATTTTTTCTTCAAAAATACTAAGTTTTCTATCAGTATTATGATATGTGTCATCATTATTCTTCGAATTCATGGTATTTAATATTCCAGTATTAAATTTCCATTCATGATTACAATATGAGAAACCGGCACCAACAAAATTCAATTCAATTTTTTTCCAACAGCCAAATATTGAATAAAACAATCTATCATGAACAGTATCTTCGCACGTTAGTCTCTCTGGTGCATTGTTCAAGATCCAACTCGAGCGTTTGATATAAATATCACCAGTTTGACTATCGACATTGTTTAATATAAAATCATTTTTATCATCGAATAAATAAACGATTAGACCGACATAATTCTCATGTGAATTAAAGATATGAGAAGTATGATGAATGTGAATGCTCTTGATTTTAATTGATGGTTTCCGTCGATCACTACTTGCAAACTCATTAGTCCAGTTACTATCTTCATGAATGACTGGATTACCAAGACCGTGCAGTGATACATTGCCTATGCTAAAACAAAACGACTTGCTTCTAAACAACAGTGATGGTAAGGATTGATTATGACAAACTCGTATACGAATTTACTGAGAATGACAATGGACGACAGTAAAACTAATCTGAATAGTGATCCTGGTTGACATCCAATACCCATACTTGTCAAGTCTTGGAAATATTCAGCAGCAAAGATAGACAGTTTAATTAAATTTTCAATGAAGTCAATTTTATCAAATTAAAGTCATAATTTAGTTTTTAATTATTTCTCAAAAACATTATTGGCGATAAACACTATACCTTCACGAGAATAGAGCTCAGTTTAAGTCCATTACTCAAATTTCTATATAATTTTCACTTTAAATTTTTAAAATTTGGCTAACTAAAAAATTCAGTTGAATTGTCTACCTCTACTTAAGGAGACTTGGGATAGGCATTTCAAACTTATCAATGTGATCGATACAAACATCTGACTGGTGCTTTTTCGCATTTTTTTCTTCACCAACCGTCAATGTTTGTCAATAGTCAAACTACAATAAGAAATTCATCGATTGAATGTAAAAAATTACTATGCACACAATAAAGTCTCATCTTTAAGCGAAGCCCTACAAAGATGCAAAGAAAAGGGGATTGAAAAGTAACCATTGTTTATAATATGCTTCTTTTAATGGCTTCAACTGTTTGCATTAGATGACTCAAGACTGACAGCAATGCTTTCGCTCTATTATAATCAATATGAATGGCAGAAATCTGCGCCGCCAATGTTGTTGGATTTAGAAGGCTGAGCATTGTTTATTTATTGAGTATAGAATATGCAACCATAATCTGTTTTTAATGGGAAATTGGAACAATAGATAAGACTGAGGGGCGAGTGGATGTGAAGCTGTCATGTGTGGCTTGAGGGTGTAGACGAACAAATCACCTTGCCCTCACTCACGTTCTCTAATTTAATTTAATTTAATCTTATTAATTTATTAGAATTTATGACGTGTCGTACCTCGATGAGATACTTCTTGAGACATTAGATTTGAAACAAATGATTTAAAAGTATATACAATAAGAACAAATCAATATTCTATTACTTTTCTTTTGTATTAGTCATTCTTTTGATAGTGATACGGAAAACAAAACGATAATAAGTAATCACTAAATGAAAATTGAATTTTTTTCTGTATCACTATCAAATCAATTACTAATACGAAAGAAAAGAAAAAGAATATTGTTCTGTTCTTATTGTATAGACTTGTAAATCATTTGTCTTGAATTCAATGTCTGAAGAAGTATTCCATCGAGATACGATACGTCATGAATTTGAACAAATTAATAAGATCAAATAAAGAGAATAAAATTAACTTATATCAAATATCATTTCAACCTTTTGATCAAAACAAGAATGTTCTATTATTTTTTTTTTAGCCGTTGAAATTCAGATAAGATAACTTGTTGAATTTGATCAACATACAAGGTAACATTTCACATTCAATCAATTACATAGATTAAGCTTCATCAATAAAAAACTGTACTTGTGATTAGTACTGGTTAATTTTGTTCAATAATAGACATTTTACTTGGCAAACAATTACACTTAATTTAGTAATGCTTTTTTTTTTATCTTTTACCTTTATTGATGAAAAAACGCTGTAATTTTTTACATCATATTAATATATTAAGAGAAATGCTCACGAGCTATAAATTGATACATAAAGACTAATATCATAATGATGTCCTAGCAAGCTGCCGACAAATATAACTATTTTCTGTTTAAACATGTTGTTCGTATCTTAGTCATTACGTTTAAACAGACTATTACTGCATATTTGTTGTTTATTCGTTTCTTTTCTGCTGCTCTGTACATTTTTTTTACTAGTCATCTGTCTCTTTTTCAACGCAGAAAAAAAAGAGCGGAAGAGAATCAATGACGCACCTGATAGCAACCTACGAGCATAAGAAAAATGATGATATACGAGAGTAGAGCACACAACTATCTCAATACGCAATTCAACATATATACACGTTGCAGCAGGTTTTTCGCTTCACTACAAAATTAGCCGGCTCTAAATGCTTAATTGAATATAAACCAAAGCGGAAATTAATCGATTACGGTGATCATTTTGTGTTAATCAAAAGATGTGTAGACAATGGTGCGAACTTAGCTTTCGGAAGAAAATATTGTCGGTTGTTAAAAATGAAATAACATGGAGTATATTTATTATTCTTGCTTGTGCCATTGCCCTGATCATTGTGTGGACAGTAAACAAACCTATCGAATGGCAGAAATACGAAGATCCTGTTCATGAACAAGAGCTCATGAGTATTATTGGTGGCATATTTGCTATTGTCGCCACATTAATGAGTCTGACTCAAATTATGCAACATTTTGTTCATCAATCTCATAAAGCTTCACAAAAGCGAATCATACGTATATTGTGTATGGTGCCAGTGTACGCATTGACCTCTTGGCTATCTCTATTGTTTTTGCAAGCAGCTATTTATGTGGAATTTATTCAACAATGTTATGAAGCTTATGTAATGTATTGTTTTCTTCTATTACTAACAAAATATCTTGGTGGTCATCAAGGCGTAGAAGAGACGTTTGCAAACAAAGAAACCATTCATATGGCATTTCGATTGGGATATTGTTGTAAACCAAAACCAAATCCAAAGTGGATATGGTATTTTAAAATAGGACTTCTACAATATTCGTGGATTACACCAATATGTTCTGGTATAGCCGTTGTTTTAAATTTAGCGAATGTTTATAGTAATGGTCTATGGAAATTTAATCAAGGTTATCCATATATTACAATTATTATTACTATTAGTCAAACATTAGCTCTTTACTTTTTAATAACGTTCTATAGTAATATGAAAGATGAATTGAAACCATTTCAACCACTGGCAAAATTTATTACGATAAAGCTTCTTGTTTTCTTTATATTTTGGCAGTCAGTTCTAATGAGTGGTCTTGCAGCTGCTGGAGTACTTCGAAATACTCGATGCGATTCTCAAGTTAATGTCTATTGTCATGGTTCAACAACAGGATTTACAGTTGAACAAGAAAAAATTTTATTAGAAAATATATTAATATGTGTTGAAATGTTCTTTTTTTCAATCGCTCATCATTGGATCTTCAGTTGGAAACCTTATGCAAATGGAACGTTCACTAATATCATCGAATCTCGATCTATTCAAATAATCAATAAAAATAATGAGATTGATGAACAATTTGCTACAACATATTTTTAAGTCTTATTTCTTAAATGTAACTCTTTTAAGGTGTACTGAAAACGACAGCATTTTATAATATTTCTTATTTACCTTTCTTATCTCGTATCGGTTAAATGCATCTGACGTTTCTATTTTTGTTCTTTCTCTCTAAATTTTGTTTATTCTCACTTAAAATATTGATTGATGACAACTTTTGATCATTACGGACAATGTCTCTTTCTAATTCTCAACCTACAGGTGTGAATCAGCTGCCAGACAATATTCATGAAGGTTAAGAAAATCGTTAAGCGCAGAAGACTAAGAATAGTATTCCATTCTACACGTATAATGAGATGTTTTACGAACAGCTTTTGACTTATTATAATGTCACAGTGAACTTCGTCTCTAAAAGCTATTTTGCAGTCATTAATTGATCATCAACAATTGTTAAACAGTAGCTTAAATCAACAGCTCTTTTCCGTTCGATCAATTTTAGTTTTGGATCAATTATCATCGCCTCAACAAGCCCAATGTACGATTCAATCAACAACGACATCCTCTCCTCAATCCTGTAGCAAATATCAATGGTTCAATGTGTCACGAACGAACAACTGCTATCGAATATCTCATTTCTTCAAAATAGTTGTATTCTTTTTACCATATCGTTATCGATGATCAATCCTTATGAGACGTCCATACCAGCGAAATGAGGTTGTAGGTATCAGTGTAGAACTCGGGACTGTGCGTGTGCAGTGCGCTTAGGCACATCTACACCCTCAAAGTTCCCTTTGTTTACTATCAAACCTTCAATTTTTGACTACCATTGTTCATTGGAATAAAAATATATTTCTATTGTTTAGTCTAATCTTTAAGTATTTTTGATATGATTTTCTCATCAACATAAAGCTCTTTTGAATATCTTCTCACTACATAGAAATCGTTTCAACTTGTCAATAATTTGAGACTTAATGGATTCTACATCATTTAGAATACTTGATAGTTTAATCCCTAGTTTATTACTAGTTGAAATTCTCGATATTTCAGGAAAAATTTGTTTACCAACACAGCTATATGTCGATGATTGTTACAGAGTACTTCATAACTTAGGCAAATAGAAGCTGTTTAGCATGAAACATTTACGGGAAAAAAAGGTAGCGTTGCTCCCTCTAATGTAGGGTTACATACTGTAAAATTTTCTTCCTGTGCTCGGATATCCTTGCGTCAGGGAAAAGTACATGTTCGAGTTGGGTGTGGGTGTGGGTGTGGGTGTGCGTGTGAGGTGTGGATATTAATCCAAGTGTTATCTTAATCGATATCGATACCTATCCACGCCCACACCCAGACCACTCACATACCCTAGCCACATCCACCTACACCCCACCCTTAATATCGATTCAAGTTCTTAGTTTGTTAAAAATTTAACACTTTCCGAACAAAGACATAAAACATATGTTTCTTCTCCTATTTTTTGTATTGTCTAGTAGTATTTTATTTTCATTTGGTATTGCATTCCAAGAAGAATACAGAAAAACAATAAGAGGAAAAAAGAATGTATTCCAATAAAAATAAATAATCATTTATTTATTTCACTAATTAGTCATATTGATAAAAAGGGCAAACAATAAAAGAATTGAAGAAATGTAACTGAAATCGCTGAATCCAGAATGCTTCAAGTGTTTGAAATGAAACCTTAATATACAAAACAAATGTTGAGAAATAAAATCAAGTCATTTAATAAAAACAATAAACAACATGATAAGACGTTCAATTAACATAGCTCGAAAAATGCGTGTTGTTTACATTTGAAGATCATGTTTTAGTGAATAAAATTTTGTTTTCACTTCAAAATTGATTTATATTTGATGTTCCTATTTTATCAATAATTTAACTTAAATCGGAAAAAAGCATAGATAAATGCAAAACTGCAATCATTTATTTTCTTCGCTATCTATCGAGCCATTCTTGAGTAGTTTTTAATTGAAAAACTCTCAAACAGCCAAGAAGTGATGTTCATCTGCAAAACTCTTCTTTCTTTCTTTTTGTTGTAACATAGTTTGGAAGAAAAAATAAATTATTGTCAACGACAATGACATATTTTTTTTCAAAAAAGTAAACATTTTCGTAAGCAAAAAGTTTTACTTCTCCCTACGAGCTATGTTTATTATGTACATTATTCTATACAAGTATATACGACATTGTGAGTGGTGTCTGAATTTTTCAGCTTTGAGAGTTCTTCACAAAAAAATTTATCTTGGTACTAATTCGAATTTAAAGTCACGTTCGATTTTATATGCGAAATTCTCCGAAATGTGAATATAGACAGGTCTCTACAATAATGTGAAATGATGTTTTATGAAAATTTCGAGTGATAATTTTCAAAGTTATAGAATTCTCACTAGATTGAAATTTTGCACAACATATATATATGTTGTCCTTGATCAAAAACACATAGCATAATGTGAGAATTTAAATTTAAATCTTTTTAAAATCATTTGAAGATGTAAATTAAATTGACTGTCATGGAGAAAATTTGATTTTAATCAATTAAACAATAAATTCAATATTAACTTCAGAAGAAAATTATTCTTTAGAAAATTCATTCTGATAAAAAACTACTCATGATAGAAATTTTATATATATCAAAGTGCTAACCATTTTAACAGATAATTTAGGCGTCAAAAAAAAATCCGAAAACAATCAGGGAGCTATCTTAAATGCAGAAAAAAATATTATCAGGAAATACTTGAAACCACAGTTAACTTTAGTTATATAGTAGTTCTATCCAAAAAGGAAGTTTGATCGATTGTACAATCACATTTACTAAATATATCAAATGATATTCAATAAATTTAAAAATATGATTGAATGAGTTGTAGTGCACTATTGAGAATATGAAGACTATGAGAAGAAATATTTCCTTTGATATAAGTAAAAATAAAACTAATAATAAAGAGGCTTTTAACTTTTATCAGATAGATCTGATGATTGACTTTGTGATTCTGTTGTTGTAGTTGCTGAAGATTCTTCATGATCATATTCAGTTTCGATTCTCATTTTACGAAAAGTTTCATCAATGAGAACTATTTGTCGATTTTTTTTAGCTGCTCGTTTAGCAATACGTGATGCCTCTGGTCCAGATATTTCAATATCTAAATCATCATCAATTTGACGTTGAGCATCAGTAGCAGATGCAACTAGAATAAAAATTGATTAATGAACTACTTTCCTATTGTACATCTGTTAACACAATCGCTCACTTGCAGCCTATAAAATATAATTAAATTGAAATAAATATTGACTTTTAAACTCACTTGTAATTGTTGTCGATTTTCGGCATCTTGAAGTGGACTTATATCGATTGATCTTTCAGAATTCAATTCAGTAAGCCATGGATTTGTGAGAATTTCATCGATTGTTATACGATTTGCTGGATTAACTATGAGCATTCGTTGAATAATAGATTTTCCTTCTTGTGAAATATTTTTCCATTCAGCATCAGGAAATTGATAATCACCTGTTTTAATTCTATATTTCATACCATAGTTTGAGTTTTCTTCATCTTTCGGAAAGAAAGGTGGATAACCACATAGAAGAATGTACATAATAACACCCATTGACCAAATATCACAAGCCTGTTTTACAAGAAATGAAAGCAGAAAAAAAAGAGACTCATGTTTGAACCGAGTAGTTTGTGGAAATCATATTTTTCAATTTGAGCTTCTATTTTCTAAACTGTCAAAATAAAATATGATCAGCGTATTACTTTATTATATCTTGCATTGGAAAGAATCTCTGGAGCAGCATAAAGTGGTGTAAATCTAAACAAGAAAATCTAGTTAAAATTTTCGATATTATTCATTCATTTGTATACAATGGAGTTTTCAATGGCAATGGTTCATTGTTTCCTTCAAAAAAAAATAGAATAATAAATAAAAGTTAGTTTATGTATTATTATTTTACCTTCTTTAGCAAATCCAAAATCTGTAAGTTTGAGAATAGCATCATCTGTTTCATTTGTCAAGAGTAGATTTTCTGCTTTTAAATCGCCTATAATCATAAATTTAATAGATAAACATTATTGCTTTTTTTATTTTTCTATTGTAAAACTACGTACGATGAGCCTATAATTAATGGTAAGAACAACATAAAGAATATACAAAAAAAGAAAGAATCATTTTAAATTTTTACTATATCCATTTTATGTAAATGATAAACAGCTTGAACAATCATCCAAATATATCTAGCAGCATCACGTTCAGTATATGGTTTATTTTTTCGTTGTTCAATACGATGAAATAGTTCACCACCTTCCATACTAGAATAAACATTCTTCAATAAATATATTTTCAAGATATAGATCGACTGTACCATTCCGCTACAATCAATAAGCATCGTTTAGATCGAAACATATTTTCCTATAATAAAGGAAAAGAATGAATTCATAATAGAATAATGGAATAGAAAGAAAATATTGAAGCTCAATAACAATATTCTTACATAGACATCTACTACTTTCACAATGTATTGACAATTTTCACATGCTTTTTTATGTAAGATAATTTCTTGTCGAGCTCGGAATGAATCTTCTAAAATCTATAAAATTTTCAAATATAAATTAATTGATATATTTAATTAACACAAATCGAAGAAATATACTTTAAGAGCACATATTTGTCCTGTTTGACGATGTTGACATTTGTAAACTTTACCATTTACACCACGACCTAACACTTTTGGTAAAATTTCATAATCATCTGTGAAATCATTTCGACGTGTTGGAAATGGAAATGAACCATATTTATTTGAACTGTTTAATTGATTAGAATAGATTTATTTTTCATAAGAAAAAAATCGAATGAACAAAAACTTATATGAATAGAAAGATTAACATTTACGAACATTATCCAACCTATTATGTTAATCTTCATCAATAAAACATCATATAATTTTGTTCGAAACCTTACTCTTTTTATGTTTCATGCTTTTTTTTGTATAGCTTACATATCATTGACTTAACGAGTAATTCGAAAATATATATTATTGAATATATTTCTTTACTCACACAAATAAATATTCTTCAGTGATGTGAATAATAGGTATGCAACATACGAAAAGATAGAGGCTTTTAGTCATTATTGCATGGAATCATAGTTTTCATATAATGAAAAATAGAATCCATGAATTTTTCGAAACATACTCATGTTTTTATTTTTTTCGATAACAGAAAAATACTTTATGTAAAAGAATTTATAAATTGATTTGCCTACTTTTGAATTGTTGCTTTCCGATTAGTGTCCATTATTATTTGTACAAATTGTTTATAGGTAAATAAATACTTGATAATTCTGAACAATAAAAACAAAAATAGTATGTCTTATTTATATTAGATAAATTTCGGTTTAAATTAGCAAAACTTAGGAATTGTTTATTTGACTTATGCATGTGAAATTACAAGAAATTGTGTAAGAACAGTAGTCAAGGAAAGAAGATTCTACTACATTGATCTATGGAGCAGCATATGCAAGACACGTGTAAAACACACTGCATAGCTAAATTAGAATCGACAATAATAATGAAGAAATATAGAAGAACGAGAAAAAAAAAATAACAAAATTGGTAGTAGAATATAACGATCGTTTTTTTTCTCTTAGTGTGTGCTATGCAAATTTTATGTATTATTTTAGTTGACTGCAAGGCCGTACAATAATCATCGATATTCACCAGAATAAATATGAATAAGGTGCTGATTTGGCGTAGAAAATATGACTGTCACAATTATGAATCAAAAAAAAGAATAATCGAAAGTCAAAGTAATATACATGCAATTAATGATTTGTTTGCTTACCTGGTTTTATTACAAAGATGACGTTCAAAAAAACGCATAAAATCAGTAGCGTGTAACTGTATAAGTGACGATGTGGATCGTGTATGCATGTGTGTGTGTATGATATGACTGTGAATGTGAGTATGTGCGTAGAATACATTGGATAGGACAAGGGGGAGGTTGAAGAAATTTCGGTAATCTCAACTTCGGTCGAAAGTAAAAATGTCGAAAAAAAAATTATACAAATGTCGAACTATAAAAATGTCGAAATGTAAAAAATGTCGAACTATAAAATTGTCGAAAGTGAAGCTATTAGAGAGCAAAAAAGGGGGAGTGCTAATTGCCCGAAAGGCATAAGATCGAAAGGGAAAATTTCGAAAAAAAAAATCCCGAAAGAAAAAAATCTCGACCTACAAAATCTAGAAAGGCAAAATATCGAATACACAAAATCTCGAAAGTTCAAAAAAATAACAAGTGATACTGAATGACTGATGAGTCATTCTTTTACCTTTTTTCTTTGTAGATTGTGGATGTGAGTGTGAGTATGGGTGCAGATGAGAGTATGGGTCTGAGTTTGGGTGTGGGTGTAGATGTGGGTATGGATGTGGATGTGGTTATGGGTGCAGATGTTGGTGTGGATATGGATGCGGAAGTGAGTGTGGATATGAATGTAAATGTTGGATGCCCATTCTTTGATAGTATTCACACCCACATAACATACCTATACTTATACCCACATCCTCGTGTTGCTGTTGCATTATACACCTTTCGAGATTTTGCGTGTTCGAGATTTCACCTTTCGATCTTTTTTTTCGAGATTTTGCCTTTCGGGCAATTAACACTGATTCGCAAAAAATACCAAAACAGATTTAGATTTTTTTCCGAGTTTATAAAATAATTAACAGTGTAATATAAATGAATTTTATTATGAAATAAGAAATGAATCAAAGACAAGCAAAAATTCTCGATAAGTAAATTGAAAAAGTTAATTAAAATTTTGGAAAACGTATCTTTGAGCAACTTTACTTTTAAAATTTTCAAAATTCGACTTTTTTATGTTTCGATATTTTTACATTTCGACATTTTTCTTTCTACCAAAGTTGAGAGAATCGAAATCTCTGCAATTATTGTATCACATAACTTGCTATTCTATGTTCTTATATTTCATACTTGATATTGATTATTTGTGCTTAACTAGATTCTGTTGTTCTTAAGACTTCTGTAAAGCAGGTTTATTTTAATAGATATTTTGACAAAACATCGTTGCTTCCTGCAGTTTACGTTGAAAGCTAACCTTTGAGTTTGGATTTGAAATTTTTTATAAATAATATACTCAACGAAAATAGTTCAGTCTGAACATTTCAGTTTTTTTTTCACTGATAAGATACGATGATAAGTATAAAGTTCACCACTAACACTCATCGAATGATTATGTTCTCAATATAAAAACGATTCAGTACTTGGACAGGCCGAGTGAATACAAACAGCAAGTTCAAAGCAGTACTTTGATTTGTTGCTACTACCAAATTAATATTTTGTATACATATAGCTGATACTTAATGTTGATTATCTGCGCTTAGCTAGACTTCGCTACTCAAAAGATACTTTCAGAATGAAGTTTTCATTTTGTTTCAAAACTGCTAATTCAAACAATGAAAACAGTAGGTAAATTATAATATTTTAAATTCATGTTTCAAGCTTCTGAATAAGGTCATCATGAAGAGATTGTGTTCAAATTTTGAGTTCATGTAAAAGTAGTTTTATCACATCAATGAATTCATTTGATATGCATATTATGTAACATTTGCTAATCGAATAGGGTATGAGTATGTGTTATGTGTTTTTGGTTAGTGTTCGTAGATGACCAAAGACGTTGCCAGAACTATAGTCACAACAAAAAACCTCATCTGCATTGATATCCGAACTGATTTCCACATCGACAACACTCACTTACCTGTTCTGTTTCGAATTGAATAACTACATGTGTAGATCTCTTACATCTTATTCACCAAATCGATAACTTGAAATCATGTTCGATTAATTATTTTTGAGCTTGTGAATTTAAATAAATTTTCTATACCTATAGTTTTAAATCATTCGATTTTAGACCTTTATCATGAAATAAGTAGTTGATTGAATATCTAGTATTTCGAAATCTAAAATTTGATCATCAGCCCATTTAATGTTTCTTTTGCAGTTTGAGATTGTTTAACAGTTTTATCTTTTTGTTTTTGATATCCATCAAACAAACTATTAACATGAGTATTCCAATAGATTGAACAATTTTATCTGATCGAATCGGTGGTTCATGAGTGTGGATGTGAATGTTGGGATAGGTGACAGGAAGAGTAATACCCACACCAACACTCTCAAGTATATATCATTAGTTTCTGATTATGAAATGAAGCGAGGACAAAAAAAGAATCAAGAAATTGATTTTCTCAAGAGAAAGACAACAGTAGTCGATATCAAAATCCCATTGGGATCGGATCACAAAAATAAGACTCATGTCGAACATTTCTACGAGGTGAAAAATGCTTACATATGTCTATTCATTGAAATCAAATATATTCATACTTCTAAATCAACAAATGGCAATTGATAATGTTGAAAACTATATTTTTATTTGATATATACATAATAAATAAATTGTTGTAATCGTGTTAGAAAATATTTCTTATTTTTTTCTAAAAATTATTGATACATCATCTGTTAACTTATATTCTCTATCTCAAATAACACTTGTTTGAATAAAATTAAAACAGACAAAGGTAAATATTGAATGTTTATTAGTGATACAACTTGTTGCATTTTGCTCGATTATATATTTGAAAGAATCTCAACTGATTTCTTTGAGTGTTGCATTCAAATAATTTTTTTTAATGAATATCACTTTATAAACACAAAAGTTTAATAGTCTATACGGATGATAAACTTACAATTGTTCACATAGGATTGGAACTTATTCTTTCAAACATAGTAAATCATTTTGATTCAATAGTTTCCTATTTGATATAATATGTTGATTATCTCATTGTTGTTGATGTTTTCAAGCATAAGAAGAAATAATCAACAGAGTTGCTCTTATATCGAGAGTATCATCATCTTTTACACTAATAGAGAGTTGTCTTGATTCAAAAAGATATTGATAAAATATGATTGAGTCAATCAACATACAATTGTCGAAAATATTGGAAATAAACCAGACATCAACTAATGCGAATGTCTCTTGAATCTTGTTTGAAAATAGAGATGGATGTCTTTCGCGTTACAAATCACTATCGGCCAGATACATTCTAATGTTTTAGTCAAATTATTTCTAAAATAATCAACGTCACTTCTGGTCGTCTTTTTGAAAACGATAAAATCGGCGATTTTATCTCATGAAAATACTTTCTAGAACAATGTTTTCAACGTCATGTTACTTTATGTCTGATGGAAAAAACACAAGATAACGATGGCAATACATATCAAAGATATCAACAAGAAGAAAACAGAGAGATAGAATTTTGCTACTGTCACCACTTAACTTTTATCAACTAATTTATAAAAGAAGATATAAAAAGACGACGACGACGACGACCTTCGTATCTATTAATCAAAACTACCGAGAGAATCGACATCAGAAGTGATGGTGTTTCCGATTTTCATAATTATTGGTCTATTAACTCAAGTTCTATGTCAAGACGCAGCATTGAACTCTTCTGATGGTATTGTTATACATCAAGTAGAAGTACAAACAAGTAGCATTGGTCGTATTAAATATGAAGATGGTGAAGTAATTCTTTATCAAAATCAACGCAAGCCAACTGATATATTTTTCACTCCATTTCCTCGTGTCAATCCTGTGAATAGTGAATGTAATGAGAACATACTAAGTGGACATATCGAATTGAGTCTTTCTGTCGAACTTTATACTTCTCTACTTATTCAAGTTATTCAAAGTTACATGAAGCAATATTTTCCCCAGCTATGCAACGAGAATTCAACATGCGATGCTTCTCTACTACCAATGAGTGCTATTCGTCTTGTTCAAAAAGGTCTTCGAACAGACAAGAGTCGACAAATGTACACAATCAATGATGAATGGCGTTCAAATACTCTTCTCCTTCAATCAATCGAGTTCGTTATATATACCGTGAATCAAAGTGTTTGTGAACATCTTCGTTCATCAATTGTTAAGCAATGTTATCTATCTAATTTCGAAATACACTATTCTCTTCATTCAGAGAAGACAGTCGAACGACAAGTGGAGATTAATACTGAACAAATTACTGGAACATCTATGTATAATCGAATTCTATCTCAGTTCCCACGATCGGATACGATAGCACTCAGTGGTGGTGATTTCAAACAATTGATCAGTGAAGTTTCTGACAAAATTACTATGAAATTACGTGTTCAAGAAGGCTTCGACAGTCAACTGCAAGATCCAATTGCTCTTGATAAAGTACTTGAACGACAACTACAATTGAAACAGGTCAGTAGATGATGAAACTACGTCCTGGAATAAATATTCTATCTATATTTCATGTATCTTCCATTTAAGTTGATTTCTAAAGTAATAAGCAGTTTTTCGAACAAATTCTTGAGCATACCGTTAATAGAATACTAAAAAATGTATTTAAAATGATGTATATTAGGTTCATTTGAAGAAAGCAGATGATCAACTCTGGAACTCACTCTATTGGACACAGGATCTAACTCGACCAGATCGCTTGGCTAAAGCAATCAATACAATCGTTCGTAAAGACTCAACTGATAGTAATCATTTTCTCTATGACAGTCAAGCTGCTAAGAACATTCATAAACTTGGTTTGACTCAGCATGATATTGATCGATTAGAACAATTTGATAAATTATTGGCTACTCATGCACATAAAAAGTCATCGTCTGGATCTGGAACGAGTCATTCTGGAGGTGGAGGTAGTTTACACGTTTTTGGAAGATTTAAAATTGGTGGTAGTGGCAGTAGTAGTAGTCAATCCCAATCACATCAGTTTGAAGATGATCAAAAAGTGACTGACTCGATACATGACAAGAAAAACCACAGTAATCATTTGAACGTAACTAATATCGAGTCAAACAACGATACACAATATGTGTTTTCTCGTGATCAAGTCGAAAAGTATTTAAGTGAACTATCTGATCATATTCATCTAGAAGGTGAGATCATTCTTCCAAAACCTATTAATGCTCATATACTGAAGTTGAGTACACTTCGATCTGAAACAAAACTTCTTTCACATACTGTTCTCGTTCGTACTCGAAGCAACGTTCATGTTCTACCTCTACGGTGTCCATCGAAGGAAACTAAAGCTTCAACTAGTAATACGATGAATCAATATCGTTGGCTTGATGACAAAGTTGAACAGCTAAAAACAACTATTGAAAAACTAACTAATAAATTATCTGAATTAAATAATCAGATGTCAGAACGTATCACCCAAGTTCAACAACAATGTACAAATCAAGTATCTGAAGTACAGAAAAAGTGGATGAATAAAGTAAATACTTCTCTTCAATGTGAAAACAATATTATTGCAATCAAAAATACAATGAGTCAAGAATACAAGAAATTAAAAAAACAAATTACTTCAATTCAGCAGATGGCCATTCGAGGTAAAGAATTCATTAGGATGATTAAAACTAAAACATGTTTCGAATGCAAATAAATCATAATATCTTGTAGAGTAGACATTGATATGCAAGTTAAATATTCAATTACAGGAACAATTCGATTGCTACATCTGACACTTTCCTTCATGTGAATATTTTCTTCGAACGAGTATCAACTTAAGACAATATGATTTGATTATTTAGATCATTATTTAATCAAAAATTTGGGAATTAAGTCTAAATTCAGCATTATATGTACAGAGAAATGAGCTATTTTTTATTGAATATATGTGTTTAATTTAAAATTTCAAGGTCTCTTCTGGTTAGAATGGAGGTTGTAGAAATGTGAAAAGGTTTTTATTCTATAGAATTGAATAATTCGAGCCAGAAGAGTTCTATGAAAGTGTACGAAAAGTCACTTCATATTTGCCACTGCAAATATTTTGACACATCTGAACATTGTTTGTTATTGTTCAAAATTCATTACATATCGACACAAGCATGCTCGGGACATCTTACAGATAGTAAACAATGGTTCATAAATTATAACTCATAAATAATTATATATAGTCTTGAAATGTGTACAATCTGTACAAACACTTCAGAGCAAAATAAATTTAATATGCTCGATTTTTTGATAATGTCATTATTTCTCTTTATCTCCTCTAACGGAGAAATTACATGCATACAAGACTATTTCAAATGCTTATCATTTGTATATTCTCTGCAAATATTAAGCTCACAGCTTTCCTTTCTGAACCAATATCTAGAGGCAGTATTACACTGATCAAACATATAAGAGATATATCAATTTAAGACTAACAGTTGAATCCAACCAACTCATTCAAACATACGGATGTTAATGTTGCAACTTGCTCGAATCTTCTTGATAGATGATCCCGAAATTCTTATCAGAATTTTATTTGGTATCTACTACAATTTTTTATAGTTTTTCATGAACCATTTTTAGAAACTACACAAAGTGCATGAGATTCGAAACATAATTATTATTTTTAATGAATTTTAGAAACTAACAATTCTGCAAACAACAATAAAAGTATCCAAACGCTGTCTCAGCAAATTGAACTTCTTGAGAAAAAAGCCATGAAGAAAATCGTTAAAAAACAATTGGCTATACCAGGACTAGAGAAAATTCAGCTGCATGCAACACAACTGATACATTCTTTCAGCCTGTTCAATTATCTGCCAATAAATGAAGATATTAAAGCAATTCTCTTGTCGGCAATGGTTACACATGGTAATCATCCGCAACATCACGCCTATCTTGGGTTTGATGCCTATCAAGAAAATTGTGATGCTGGTCAGAAAACCAAGTATCTTCAGCATACATTTGATGCTCATGGTACAATACATAGACAAGAATTGATCGTTCCATGGAACAACAGAGAAAATAGTAGGTCAACAAATTTAATAATTAATATTACTGATTCATATAACACCGGAAATTATCCAAATCATGGAAATATTAACTATTTTCAAATCGAATTAGTTGGGTATATTATATGATTACATTTCATGAATCATATCAGAATAAATGAATGAATTTTATTACTTTATATTGACATTATCGATTTTTATTTTATTTTATTAAATATCAGAAATAAAAATTGAACACCCGAAAAAAAAAGATTTATGCTTATGTAATTTTTGACATAGGTTGATATTTGCTCAAAGCTAGTTGTCATATCAATTAGCAAATAAGGATGTGTAGAGAAAAGACACGCCAAATTAGTAATTGAACTCTATCCATGTGTTGATTAAAACGATACAAAACATTGACAGCTCTAAATATCATATAAATCAAAAAGCAATCCTGCTAAGTATGTGAAAATAGTGACATTTCTTTTTATAAATAAAATACACACAATGATTGATCTAGTAGGTTTCTCACACGAAGAAATCAATACAGTTTGCAAAAGCATAAACTACAGAGAATATGAGCCCTACACTGAAATAACCTTTATTGCTCATGTTTAAGACATAGTAAAACATACTGAATTACATTCAATTTGATTTCGATCTCTGAAATATATTAAATGCAAGAAAATCTGAAATGCTATCACAAAATAATTTGCTTTATTTTAGAAAAGATATTTCTACAGTGATAAAGATGTCAAGAAGTTTATTTTGATGACAAAGTCACGTCTCTGAAGAATCTGCTAAAGGATGTGTTTTCATTGCTATAAATTGAAAAACAAAAGTTTTCTATGTTTTCGACGAATATATTTGAAATTTCTATCTAGAGTTGTACAATAATTTGCTCATAGTGATGAAATACTCAACGTGAAATGTTAAGACTGTTATCAATGTTTTCGATGTAAAAATTAATGATTTCATCTTAGTTTGTTTGACTGAAAATGTAAAAGATGTCTGTAATATATGTGATGAGTAGACATGTGCGGGACCAGTCCCGGTCCCGGTCCCGGTCCCAGTCCCGGTCCCGGTAGCCGGGACCGGGACCAAAAAATAGAATTTTACCGGGACCGCGACCGGGACCGGGACCAAAAAATAGAATTTTACTGGGACCGGGACCAGGATCGAAAAACAATTTAGTCCCGGTCATGTTTGTCGTTGATAAGAAACATCGGCGGAAATAGAAGTGAGAACTGCTCCAGATCTAAAACCGGCAGATTCTGCAACAACTTCTCTGACTATGGACAAATAACAGAAAAAGTAAGGTTACTTAGACTGGGTGTGGAACAAAAACCAAATTTAACACATTCGACGCGATTCGGTTTTATTAAAGACTAGCTCTAGAGATTCATTTTCTTCTGCATTCATCTTGCGATAAATGCACTGCTTGGTCTTTTCATCCTATACTGATCTGTCGTTTTCTCTCTTCCATTTGTAATATCACATGTAGCGAAGTAACTATCCTGTAGTTTGGCGAAACTCCTGTGAGGTCATTTCAGCATGACATGCCATTCGAGAAGTTGAATCAGCAACCCAATTCAAGCGCGAATTCACTAATCGCAAGCTCGAAGAAAAGGAAGGATTTAAGGGCAATGTCCGCAGACGCTGTACTGGCTGCTTTGCGAAAGGAAGGGCACAACAGTCAAGAGAAGCGAGCTATGCGGTAGCAAAGAAAGTAAAAACGTTCTGTTGTGAGTAACAATTTTTTTTGTCTTGATTTTTTTAACAAGACCCATCATGCTATGGAATAACGGACTCAAAAAGAGCTCTGAAGGCAGAACAGATAAAGCATTATGTTCAGCCTCCTGTCTAAGAACAAAGAAAAATAAAGTACTTTTCTATACAGTTTCTCGTTAAAATGTAGCGTGGCTCACTGTTAGGCCACATTGTAGCGAATGTGTTAACTGAGCCCAGGACTAAAAAACAGAATTTCGCCGGAATCAGCAGCAAAAGGAAAATTTCCACCGGGACCGGGACCAAATGAAAATTTTCACCGGGACCCAAACCGGGACCAAAAAAAAATTTACCAGGACCGGGACCAGACCGGGACCAAAATTCAATTTCACCGGGACCAACGACCGGGACCGGGACCAAAAAAAGTTGGTCCCGCACATGTCTAGTGATGAGACATTATTTCAATGAAATGGGTTCGATCTGTTTGACTATATAGAGAATAATCTAAGGAGGATTGTGAAAATACCAGATGAGTTTCACTTTCAAGTTCTCCCAAGAAAAAAACTTTTCATAATCAAAGGTCAACTTGTTGATTTTTGAAAGTGTGTATGAAATTTCATGGGTGAATTGTTTTTTCTTTGTGCGAAGAAATTTTTTATTATAGAAAAATGTTTTGACTTTAGAAATGCATAATTCAACCGACTAAAACCAAATGGTTCGGTCAGCATTTGATAAAGTTATGGTATCATGCGAAGATGAATTCTATGAAGATTGTCAATTACTTTGAGATAAGTAAAGGGGTGAAAAAGAACTTTGTCTTCATCTGTAAAATATGAATATGGGCACATTGGTTTTGCAATTTTGCTATCAATGGAGACTATTATTCATATATTTGATTTATTCAATGGGGATGAATATTTAAGAATAATAATTGAACATATACAAAAACTCAGTACCAATTACGTTTACTCTGTTGGTCGAGCAAAAAGCAATGTATCAAATATATTCATAACTTACAATAGTTTCAAGAAAAAGATAAGAAATAAGTTTAAAAATTTGATATTGAAACATAATCAAAGTTTTCATTCAGATTAGTTTGATGGAGTGTTAAATTCACAATGGCATAAAGATTTTTCTCATGCATATTCAATTTCATTTTATATAAATGAATTGATCTTGATTTATCTTCATTCAAACTATCCATAGATCTTTCTCGAATGCATTTTATCAATCATTATATTTTTTCCGAGCTTTTTATTTACAATCGTGACGCTGTGGATGTCGGTTAGGGGTTTTTCTCTTTTCTTTTCACAGTTAACTATACTCACATCCCTAGAGTAATTTTTTTGAAAGCTCATTATACATAAGAATGAATAATGATTGTACTAGCTGCAACAATAGTCGTATGAATCTTTATTTGATCACAAGGTAACAAATCTTTTTTGCTTTGACTGCAGCAAATATTTGACGAAAATTAAGATCAAACTTGCATGTAGCCGTATGTTCGATAAAGTTGTGTTCGGTCTTTTCTTGATTTATCTTGCGTTTTATTTGTCAATGGTCTTTATTTTTCGTTAGATTCTAATTTTTTCACAAACAAAAAATAAGCAAAGTAAGACTATAAATTATAATATTACCTCTATTCATTCAAAATAAGAGAGCAAACAAACTTACACAGTGAGATATTCAATCGATAATCACAGTTGATGTCGAAAGGATTTTTTGCTGTAAAAATATTATTTTCAAGTGAGTCTGACAGATATTTCCTCGAAGAAACATACAATAAGAGTATTCTTTCATGATCGATCATCTCATCAAAATCCTCATGTACACTATTAACAAAAAAAATTGTCTTAGAAGTTATAGAGAACTGAAATTTTCAAATTAGAAGAGTAACGCCAAATGGAAAATAACTATACTAGGACTTAGACTATAGTCGATGTAAACCCCTCCCCATAATAGAAGCCCCTCCCATATTAGAAGCCCCCCCCTTATTAGAAGCCCCCCTTGGAGGGATCTCTCCAGCAAAATTTTCAGTTTTGCCCAGCAAAACCCGGCCAAAGTTTGCAGGGTCTAATAGAAGCCCCCCGGGGGCTTCTAATATGGGGAGGGGTTTAATATTGTCATACGGTGTTTTGTTTCCTTAAAAGATGAATCTTAACAATGTGACAATACAAATCAGAAAATTTTCTGTTGATCGGGTCGCGCTCGGCAATTACTACTCTAAAAGTAACAATCAGTTATGTTCACATTTTCATACGGTCATCACCAAAATGACTTGAGAAATGTATAGGATGTGTTGCTGTAAGTTTAAATAAGTGGAAAACCTCTCTCTTATCTTCGTAATCAGTATTGAGAAGGCTTGAAAGTTTTTGATTAAGGATGTTAGGAGTCTCAGTACTAGCCGATTAAAATGTCTTGAGCCATGAAGAGAAAATTCTGTCAGTCAAGTTCAACTGGAAAGTTTCGGTAAACCGTTCCATTTTCCTTTCACAGGTGGCGGAGGTATTATCACTTCTACTACAGTCCTAACGCCGTAGAAACTCTTCTGCTGAATATCTATTACCATTTCATAACTATAGACTATTTTGGGATGTGTAATTTCAATGGTGACATAACGTGTTTGATTGATTCTTTCTAATATTGCAACAATGATTTTTGCTCAATCGTTATGCATTAGGCACTAAGTGTGCTATGAACTGCATATTAGAATTAGACAAGAAAAAATAACATCTGTCGAAACCGACTAATATTCAGATGAATCGATATCAGACAAATCTTTTCCGTATCAAAGCATTTTTCGGTGTGGTATCGACAGAAGACTTTACCTGTTTCAACGTCAAAATTTGATGACAGTCATAGCAGAGAATTTAAAATAGACAAGAAAGTGTTTTCTATTATTTAATGGCTTTTGAATAAAGACTATACGTATTTACTGAGCACCAGTGTTGCTAGTGTGAGGTGCAAAGGTTTCTTAGTCGATGATAATACTCAGCTTCCTGAAGTGATTAATATACGACAAGGAACATGAATTTTTATATTGTGAATGCTGGTTGCTTGTCTGTTATGTACGAGCAACCCAATGCTGCTGGATAAAAACTGCCTTGTGACTATCATTTTTATTGCCAATCATAAAGAATCAGATGAGTGCAAAATCAAGACTGAAGTATCAATACAGACAAAAGCTATGAAATGGGAAGTCAATTGTCAATCGTTTTAGATCAAAATTATTATTAGTTAAATTATATTAAGCTCAAGCATTCATTCGTTATTGATCCATCATATTTTCAGACTTATTTTCACCGCAATATTACGAGAATATGTTACATTGCAAGAGGATTCATATAATGAAAGTAGCAGGTAAGCAAGAAAAATATTTTGTCGTTCTCATTTTGTTATGTTTCATTAAGTGAGTAGATCGCGTCTTTTTACTCGAGAAGGAAATCTCAATTTTAAAAGGTAAATAGTCACTTCTCTCATATGAACTGATTGTTTTCAATGGAAGGATTAATGTTGACCGACGTTGTTGTCGATATTTAAATGATTATTTGACAACATTGTTGGACTTTCATTGGATTTGGATTTTCATATTGCTAACGTTAACATTTGCTCTCTCTTGGTTTCTATTCGCCACCATTTGGTTCGTCATAATGAAGGTTCACGGTGATTTTGAACCAAGTGACCAAGTACCATGTGTAGCTGGAGTAGCAACATTTGTAGGATGTATACTTTTCTCCATTGAGACTCAGCAGACTATTGGATGTAGAAGGGTGTGGGTGTTTCTTTTCTTTTTACTCATATCCACAGTCACAACCACACCCTTATTTTGTGAATATTATAGATTATTATTCTTATATTTGACAATTCCAACAACAACAGCCACTGCTGAACGTTCATTAGTGTACTAAATTGAATAAAAACATATCTACGTTGTACGATGACTCAACAACAGTTACATCACGTTATTATTCCTCATATACACAAAGAAATATTAGATCTGCTTGATCTGAACAGAATTTGTTCTGAATTCCTTTCAAAAAATCAGAATAGAAGAACTTTCTTCGGCCATGAATAGTTATATTTCTTCTGATTCTATCTTTTTATTGTTCTTTTAAGCAGCGTTTGGGTCCGGGTCATTTGGCCGACAATCACTTGACCGACACCATTTCTCCGACAAATTGTTTGGCCGACATGTACACTTCACCGACAACTCATTTGGCCGACAAATATTTGAAGTAAAATAAAATGAAATTTCTTGAAAATATTGCGTCAGAAAATCTTTTTATCAAAAGTCACATTTATTTACAATGAAAGATTATGGGCAATGCCCCGAAGAAAATCGAACTTATCTCACGGGAAACAGTTTGTTAGCGGGAGACTTGTTTTAACTGATAAAAAATCGTCGTCTGATTTTATTTTGAAAAATGTTCACTATTTACAGGTGAATGAGTGGGAAAAATCCACGCAATATTTTCAAGAAATTTCAATTTTTTTGATCTCAAATATTTGTCGGCCAAATGAGTTGTCGGCGAAGTGTACATGTCGGCCAAACAATTTGTCGGGGAAGTGGTGTCGGCTAAGTGATGAGTCGGCCAAGTGAACGCGACCCCAGCGTTTCTCTGTTACTATCTACCACAGACAAAACTAACGCTACACGTATTTTTGATAGATATTTTCATTAATGATCAACCACGAAATATATGTTTTTCAGAATTTTTTTCGTCAATAGGACTTTGTAGAGCTCGTTTCGCTAGTCATCTTGATAAAAAAAAACATTCAAATTTACCTGGTAAATAACGGATCTTGTCTCCGAACACTCAAAAATATCATCTACTAATCAGCAGTAGTCACGAACAGTCGTCAGTTTTGAGTATTTTGACTCTAATGCCGTTATTTATTGAGTAAATTTGAATATTTTTTTTACCAAAACGATCAGCGAAACGAGCTCTACAAAGTCTTATAGACGAAAAAAATTTCTGAAAAACTTATATTTTTCGTAGTTGATCATTAATGAAAATATCTGTCAAAGATACGTATAGCATTAATTTTGTCGGTGGTAGTATGGTAATTCTTGATTCATTTGAAACAATAAAGCATTATATAGTTATTGCAGATCTGTAGAATTAAAATCTAGCAAGAAAATCTATAGCGTTTACCATTATAAACAGATAAACCGAACCGACTTTCAAACCGCTTTCCACAGTGGTTTGGCCGAAAATATGAACCTACTCTAAACTAAAATCGTTCCGCCATCTATGATTGGAGCATTTCCTTCTGAGAAATTTGCAAGGGCTTAAATACGAAATCTTAAAAATATACGTAGTTAAGCGCCAGAAAGTCTTACAGATTTCGTAGAGTGCCTGTTTGTTTTTCTAGTGTAAGATGCATCTTAATCGTTTATAGTTCAGATCAGCAAAAGTCAGATAAGGGAGCTATCAGGGATCATCCTCTATCTATGCAACTGAAGTTAACATTCGATTGAATCTTAATGTCGGTTTTTCTCTAGCACTCAAACAATAGGAGGGAGACATCGTTCATGAGGTTCTCTATTTGTATAAGAATACGGAATCGTTTAACTAACATAGCTGCAACTAACTGACGAAGAATTAACTAGTCAAGTTTTCGGAGTAGAATTTTCTTTTGTTGAAAAGTGGCAGCAACAAAAACACATGCCTTTCTAGAAGCCTTAGTTCCCTTCCTAGAAAAAAAATAAAAACTGTTGTTTACAATTAATTAGCAAGAAGAAAATTTTCAATCATTTTAGATCGTGAGAAAAACAGTTGCCTCCTCTCCTCTTTTTCTATCAGTTTGAGAGCACGTGTGAATTAATAGATATTCAAAATAGATTTATTCTTCTATCACACGCTATTAATCATCGGATTTATTCATGTGAATCATTTTACAAGTGACAAACATAGAGAGAGATTATCTTCTTATTCTTTCTTGTATTCGTTCGCACTTGAACCAACTTCTTCAGATGTGCTAGCAGATTTTTCATCCACAGAAGAAGCTTTCTTCATTGGACATGCGATATTTTTCTCGTCTGGCCAGATTTGAGCACGATTGACATAATTCTGAAGAACTTCAGGTCTACTATAATGTCCTGCTGAATCTATCCAAACTTTGACAATACCAAGTTGATTGAGATCAATCTCGCCGATGACAAGTTTCTGCTCCAAACCTTTATGAGGCCCAGCGAGATACATATTGAAAGGATGAATGATGCCACTCAGACCTCCTCCAACCTTGACCAAGTCTTGCTTGCCCAATCTGGCTTCCATCCAGTCAAGACACAGCTGATCAATTGTATTAGACGCATAAATAACCCAGCATTGACCAGTCAATGCGTGATTTTTCATCATAGCATCAATCTAAATGAAAACTAAACAGATAGCATGAAATCAGAAACATGCATGTTAAACTACCGATTCTGAGAAAACAAATAAAATGAAGAATGTCTAACTATAGATGGATAAATATAAATTGTTTGAGAATCAAAGAACGATTCGAGTTTGCCATTTCATATCATAAATCATGATCTCGCATTTTTTTTTGACAAAATAAAAATAGATTGGATTAAAGCATTATGAGACTTTCTCTCTTCTCGAACTTCATATTAAAGAAAAAAGTTGATGTTGCTGTTTGAACGATATCTTATCTAAATTTCTTAAATTATTATTCTTGGTTGTATTTGTCTGATTGTTTTCATTTCTCAAAACTGTCTGACGAGTATTCTTGTTGGTACTTTCGATATATTTGAACAAAAGAAAAGGTTCTTGTCCAGTACGACAGAGAACATTCGAAAAAATTTCTACATCCGATCAGAAGTTCGCTTGTTTCTAGTACATTCTCCTTGGATACTCTCACTATAGAGACTAAGGTTCTACCTGAATATCTGCCACGGCTTCAAACCCCGCCATAGTGCTCAAGGCAGGCCATGCACCTGCATGAATTTGTTCGCCCTGTTGAATGAGCGCTTGTCGCGCACCATTCATTGTATTTTCCCAGCATGCTAATCCACCAAGAATGCCATGTTTCGAAGAATAGCAGCGTAAAGTGTATCCACCTCCATTGGCCCAAATGATTCGTTCAACATAAGTTGGTTGAAGTTTTCGATGAACTCCCAGCAGTGTTCCATCAGATTCAACGAAGACTTGAGAATTGAAACATGTATGAGTGCCTGACATTCGCTCAGAAATACCGAGCACGATGCACACACCATAATCGCGACAGGCTGCTTGAATTTTTCTGATTTCTGGTCCGTCAATTTCAACAGATTGTTCAATATATTCAGCAAGTACAGGTGGTTGTATCAAGGTTGGATAACATTCAATGAAATATGGATAGCCGGGAATGAACGTTTCCGGATAGACGAGAAGTTCAACCGACGCTTTCTTTGCATCCTTTATGTATTCAATTACTTTTTCAGTCGTTGCAACCTTATCCATAAAGACTGGCGTTGCATGAACAGCTGCTGCTTTGTAAATAGAAGACATTGTTATAAGGCCGTTTTTTTTTCACGTTTGTTGATTTGTGTATGTGCACATTTTATAATTCGTTCTCCTTTTCGCTCATATTCACACAATTCAAGTATAATAATTTGATAATGGACTGGAAGTATTAATTTGTGCAAACACATGATTTTTGAATCATTCTGATCGATATGTTGATTTTTATGTTCTGTTGATTATCGTTTGTCTCTATTGCTTAATAAGGCTACACGTGTGTCAATAAATGCGACATACTCACATAGGGAACAAATGTGTCTCTATACCATTTACATATTCTTCGTAAATTATACGAATATTTGCCTCACTCTCAATACAGCTGTTTGTTCTTTCTTCGTGTTCTCCTGTGTATTTTATTTTATAGTTCTGAACATAAATTTTGTGCAGATATTTTGAATGCATGTAGAACATGATGAATCTTGATTGCAAGCATCAACTCGACATCCATCAATTGAGATACACTAAAATCATGAGCTAAATGTGAAAATGGCAAAAATTTAATTTACAATAGTTAAGGTATGGTCTTCACACTAAAATCTATTGCTAAACAAAAAGCTGATTCTTGAATCAGGTAAATCAAACTTGAGTGGATTTCGATCGATTTATCTGCAATTTTTTTATCAGAAAGCTCTCATAGAGCCGGGAGTTCGTGCTGGAAGTTTGAAAACTATAGCTCCAAATGAATTCATTACAGAACTAAAACATGGTTCACCCATGACACAGCTTATCAATGGGTTGAATATTGGTGACACGTAGAGGCAAATTTCTTCAGAACTAATGCATCTGAAAGTCTGTATCTTCTGGTGACTAGGAGCAATGCTATTTTGTTCAATGCAGAAAAACAAGAAAACTTACTTCGTCGATCGTTTCTTCGTACAAATATTATTCTATTGTCAATCATATTTGTGCTCATATTGTTGCGGATGACAATCGATTATGAAAAACTGTATATATTTCTCATAATACTTTATGTTTCTTCTATACAATCAGATAATAGAAAAGATTGAATAAAACACAAATATTTCGTCTTTTTTTGAGAATGAATAGTGTGGGCGGCAAAATCTAATGGATGTGTATAACTAAACATGGAGTTAAAAAGAAAAAAAAACCTATTAATCAAACAAAAAGATAGATTAGATGTAGCAATATTTCTTCATTTTAAATTTACTTTCTCTAACAGGGAATAAGACCCGGTTAAATTTTGCGACAAAATAAAAAAGAAATGTAATTCTTCAACATAAGTTATATAAGTTGTCAGATAATTTTATGAAAATATAAACTTGATCTTTCAAGCATCTCCGAATTCTTTCGCAATTTGTTGTCTAGATTATGCAAAAGTGAAAAAGTAACCTATGGCATAGAAAGAAATTGTGATATTGTTCAAGCGTACAAAAACTTTCTACTACAACACATATTTGTGATCGAATATTTTTCATTTCTTTTGCATTCCTTCTAAAGTCACAATTTAAAAAAAATCAATCTCTTATATACTGATTTCCAGCAAAACCGCACCGAAATAGACATATATTTGGGTGAAAAAACAAAACTTATTAATAAAGGTCTTTCTTGTATAATCTTCCCCATGCTCATTATCAATGATGCGAAAAATTCCATTCCATGGCAGAAAGTCATTTTCATAAGGATCACATTTAGTAGAAGGAGAACTCTTTATCCTGTCGAATGAAGAGAAGCGAGTTTTTTTCATTCTTATTTGCCTCATTTTGAGGACGTCTAAAATCAAGAAATTGTGGCATGATGCCTCAAATTTATTTAGAAAAGCTAGGTTTTTCTCTCATAGATGATTGATTAAAAAACTCGTTTCCCCTATTAGAGGCACTATGCACATATGTATTGATGAAAAACCATAGACCTCTAGAAATGAAGTATATTGAGAAAAAATTAGTTCATATATCAGTTACTCGCATGAATATTAATTTTAATAAAACCGCAAGAGAAGCCGTATTTTTGTATAATCTTCCTATTATCTTCTACAACGCTGCGGGAACACAAACTTTGTCTGTGTCTATAGAAGTCCCTCTGGTCGAAGATTAAACTGTCTTAGTATGATACTAATTGTGCTAAATGAATCAATCCATCGTGCGGCAATATGTATTGAAATATTTCTTCAACTGGACTCAAATCCATGAAAAAATACCCATATTCACATAAAATAAACCTATATTAGCAATGAATTAATAAAATGATTTAATTTTAAATGTTCTTTCAGCGACAATATGTAATAAATATGATCAGCCATTGATGGATACTTTTTTTTAGCATTCATAGTTTTTTAATTTATCATGATATGAAAGTACATGAAAACGATAATAATATTTGGTATGGCTATCAACATTGGTTATGATTTTATTTCTTGATGAATTATCTCTTTAACATTCGTCAAATTATTGCTCTGACGATGGTCGTATCCATAGGACAAAATTTAATGAATGTTCAAATAAAAAACCTCTACTTTTTACTATTACGATCATTTTCATGTACTTTCGTATCATGATGAATTTAAAAACTATAAAAGCTCAAATAAAAAAAAGTATGGATCAATAGCTGACCATATTTATTATATATAGTTGCTCAACGAACATTTAGAACTAAGTTATAAAAAAAAATTCATGTTTATTGTTATGTGTATTTAATAAAATAATTATTGAACTAAGATTTAAAATGAACTTCAAAATTACTGTTATGGCTATTAGTTATAAAAAAAAAATGTCTTGCTTTTTGATCTTGATCAAAGAAGGTGAAACAAATCCATGAAAAAACGATTAAAATATATTTTATAGTGTCTTAAAAAGAGTGCAATTATTTCGTTTTAATTTTATTAATAGTTGAGGAAAACATTATAATCTAAAAAATAGTTTAAATTAATCATTTTGACATCACGAGCCATACAGTCATATTAGAAACAATGATGCATAATAATATACAGAAAAAGACGAAATAATTTAAGGCACTACATTTAGCTGCAATATCTTTTTTGTGTTTCTTTTCCGTTTTATTTTCATCAAAATCAGTTTGGCATGGCTCGCATCTGTTGCAAAAGTTGCATTTCGGTTTCACTTCCGCTTTTATTTCGCTAGAATTTGTTAATACTGCTGTTTCAATTGGCTCAACGTCAGTTGGGTTTGTGTTGATAGGTTCAACATTTTGAACGAGAATTTCCTGTTTCTCATTAACACTTTCAACTTTGGCGTGTCTTTGAAGACATGAACTAAATAATTTCTGGCAAGAAACACATTCTATTTTATGATTGGCTGTTGCTTTTGTATTTTTTTCATCATTAGTCTTCTTAATTTCACCATTCTCGACAATAACATCCTTCTTTGACTCTTTCTTGTCATCTTTTTTTGGTTTTGGAAAGAAATAAAAAAATACTCTTTGCAATAGGCCACAAAAAAGAAATAGTGGCTTTGGCATTTCAGCTTTTGTTATAAAATGATTACATATGATAAACCATGTCATTGATATTAATGTCCAACACATAGATAATAAAAAAAATAATGTGATCATCATTAAATATTCAGACTGTTGTGGAAATATATTAGAGAAACTTAGTGAATAAACAGAGTATGTCATAAAACATGTCATACCTAAAATGCAAATACAATATTTATTTGATAAATTCAATTGAATATTTAAGAAAAGAAAATATTCTTACAGAGACCAATTTGGGATCCAAAAGGTAATGTAAATGATAACAAAGTAACACAATTTAAAATTAAACATGCAAATATACCATTCAGAATAAAAAATGTTGGTTTTCTTTGTAAATATAATTGTATTGATATTACATCATTATAAGTATTTTCAAATGGTACTCTATCTGATGCATGAATGACAATCAAATCGGTTCCCTTTAATTTCCATAGAGGATGTTCACTATACCCACTAATATCAATTACTAAACTTGCATTGTCTGTATATATGATTCTATTGGATCCTTGACTCCATGATGTTAAATTGATACTACACATCTGTTTATCAAATGGAAATTGTTGAACGAAAAAGTTACATCTTGTTTTTATTGTTAATGCTGGTAATATCAGATATACTTGACCTCTATAATCAATCGATGCTAAATTATATTCACTTACTGTGAGATAACCACTTGTATCTGCTGAATTCAATATCATTGTATCTGGTATCCATAAACTTTTCGCTGGTAGCATAAGTACTTCAATATTACTTGAAGCATTTGGTGCCCATGATAATCGTCCATCAAGCCATGTTTGTGAAATAAATGAACTTGATGTCATTATTTGTTGTTTTTCATCTATAGACACAATTTGTTGTAGTGCAGCAGTAATATCGACAGATACTTGATCATCTGGCCGTATAGTTTTATCATATCCATTTAATAATGTTGTTACTAGTGTTTTTTCAGCTATTTGTGAAGCTGGTAGCGTTCCACAATTACAGAAGTAGAATAAATAACATATCACAATACTAACAGCTAGCATTTCTATTATTTTGAGACTCTTTGTTTCAATACGATGGACCAACACGACCTTTCAAATGCACTTGCTGCTCAATGTTTATATACACACAGTGAAAGAAAATTTTATTTATGATGCCATGAATAATGTTTGTATTAGAACAAATTCGATGGTGAATAAAATATGGTACTCTTTTATTCTGTTTTTACAAGAATTTGGTTGTGTTGCTATCGATCAAAGTTTGTTTAGCGAAGTATGTTTCATACGCACATTGTCCACAATTGGGTGAAAAAAATCAATCCAAGTAGACACATCAATTTGCTTCAAAATGAAAAAAAAGGTAAAAAACAATTTTCAACACATAAAATAAGTGTTTTGTTGTTCTTTTTTGTCCTTTTCCATCTTCATTTCTTCACATTTGATTGATGTGATTTGTCAAACAGTCTCATTCCCATCATCATTTTACCAATGTTGTTGAAGGTTGAAAGCTTAGCGACTGGCAAAAGCTTCCAGTTAGGACTTCTCTTCGCAGCAATTGCTTTTTATTAGCATCTTCAGCAAGTGGCAGTGACCATTAATTGGCAGTTCTCTAACAAGGAAAGCTCGCCAAGTGTTAATCATGGATTCAAAGGAAAAGTACACCAGTTGATAGAGCTCGATGAACTGATTATATTTGTAACCAACGTTTTTTTCCTATAGAGCTTTCTTACAGAATTTTTAGGTCATATTAACCCCTACGAAGCATAAAATATAGGCGTTAAATGTAAAGGCTCGTATGTAGATATTGCATGCATTCTTCTTGCGATGCGCATATTAGATTGCCTATTTTGTTCTATATCGCACATGTTTTTTCATGTGCAGATCTTTGTCTTCATCAACTGTTCGACCACTAAACCTATTCTTCTCGGTGTACAATTGCACATAAAGAGAGAAAAAAATACCACAATGAATTCAATATTATCGTTCTCTTTCTCTTGTTCTGTCGTCGCACAGGGTGTGGGTAGGTGTACCTATGTAGATGTGTTTGTGAGTCTCCTCTTGAACCACACCGACACCCACACTTTCAAGCATGAAAAAAGGATTCAATCATCGGCTTTCTCAAGATAAAAATGGTCGATACCGGAGTCCAACATGGTCGCATTTGTAAAGATCAGAAAAAAAACAGTTGCTGTAGGGTTGAATCTGGTCACAAAAGGCTGATTTATGTTGTATACCAGTGTTCGACTCGGATCGGATCACTGACAGTTGACCGATTTCGAAATTTTTATAAGACAAACGACAATTTCAGATGAGATAATGGTTTCTTTGCTTCAAATATTGAGAGAGTTTGTATAGATACACTGAAAAGATTATTGACCTGTGAAAAAAACTCGTTTTTCTGAACAAAAAAATATCTTCAATCTCGGATTGGGTCGAGTCGGGTCACGAAAAATTGACCCATGTCGGGCACTGTTGAGTACTGGTTTACACTGCTTGAAATGATAAATGCTTCTTGCTGACACACACAGTGAATGGCACTACATCGTAGTTCAAATTCCTGGGAGCAGAAATACTTCGTGAAATATCCAGAGAAGTGTGTATCTTAAAAGTTTTTCGATTCCATGACGTGCAGTTTTCGAGAATAAAATTTTGTAAGTTATTTTATCGAACTTTTCCAGGTGTCAGTGTGGGTGTAAATCATCCTTTCATCAGAGTCTCTCAACTCGACATACTCTCTACGCACAAACAGCAGTCTATAGAAATCTATAGGAAATCCAACTTTTTGTCAAATAAATGATATTTTCATTAATATTTTCAACATTCGCTGTTTTGCTGAGAGATTTTCGAAAGTTTTGAAAGGAGTTTTGGCATTTTTGACTTTGAGAAGAATGCTAATGTCTTCTTGATGAATCATTGAACCAAAAGTTATCTTATAAGATAAGTTTTCAGCAAAAAAAAAGTAAAAAATCACACTCGAATTATGTATCTGTGAAACATTACCTATATTCAGATGATCTCCTGTCAAATCTGCACGAAGATCACCAATAATCTCTGCAAAGGTGTTTCATTGTTCCATTGTAAAAAATATTATATGCGAGAGAAAGTTTGTTGGATTCCAATTATTCATGGTTGAATAATATTGATTGTGACCGGACTCAACACGCTAACTCCAAAATATAGAGGATGATTTCACTAAGACTTCTTCTATAGAATACTGTTTATAATGAACTTTTTCATGAATCAAAATTTTAGATACTAATCATCATACATCAATCTCATTGGACGGCTCACATTATCGAAAAAAAATAACATACTGATTTTCGCACGCCAACATTTATGTTGTGTAGAATAAATCAAGTATTTAGGATTCATTAGAAAAAATGCAGTTTGGATACGATTTCTTATTTTTTGTTTTTTGTTTTTGAATAATGGATCATTGGATCTTCTCATACAGTTTCCATGATTCATTGTTACAAAAGAAACATCATTCGGTTGGCTCCATTATGTTAGAAAATGTCAAATGAAATATAATTCTTGAGACTGTTTCGTTCTGTTTTAATCCAAGCAATACAGCTAAATTGTGACTCTATTTGAAAAAATGAGCGACCAAAATATATGATTGTTTGGCGTTTGTATTTTGCTGATCACGTATATCAAATCATTTTCATAATTTCAAAACCTAAAATTAATTGTGTCGTTTGATGGAACCGATCTTCATACTTGTTAAAAATTGAATCGAATTTTGATTTTTATAGTTCTCAAATTAATGTCATGCACACCTGAACAGTAGTGATATATTTGAATATTTATTTGAAAATATAGTGGCCTAGAAAGTTTTGTGGGTTTTTTCCAACTTATTTTAAGTATCATTTTTTTTATCGAAAATAAATACAGCTGGTATCGATGACTCACAATATCAATGTGGCTTTTTTTGTTTTCGCATATATATTGACTACAATCAAATTGTGAAATGAGACTCTTACAGATTTACATATTGCTTTCATTTTTTTATGTTATCATTTTTCGCAGAAAATTCCAAGATTTCGTTAAATACTCAGGCATATAAGAGCCTGCCACACATTCTGAATAACAGTGAGTATAAGATCTACGGTGCATCTTCTTTATTGTTCCTAACAGGTGAGAAAATATTCTTTAAATTAACGACGGTTATGTATATAAGAGACTAACAAAAGACCCTGTCATGATGACTCAGATTTCAATTCTAAAATTGACTAAACTCTGCGATGATAATGTTTTCTATGCTTGATACACAGTAATCAATCATTTAATGAAATATATATTAATATCAGATATAATGCTTGAAATTCGAATGAAATTTTCTTGAATTGAGTAAGCTGATTCCATAAAATTAGACATTCACGAAACTTAGATTGTTTGGTGTGTTTGGATTGCGGTGCAAGCCTACACCAAATAATATAGTAACCAATGAATGGCGTACATAAAATTGACTACTTTTGTTTTCAAGGTTTTTAGGAATTAAAAGACATTTTTTAAATCTACCTTTGGGTTTATGCAATGCAAAACTTTTTAACTGCCAACTTTGTTCTCGAAGTGCAAGTTTCTTTTTCGAGTTCATCTGAACTAATAAAAACATAATTGATTATTCATGTATGACATTCAAAAATTGAAGAAATACATGATGCACTTTTACCAATAGTTTTGTTACAATTTTCCTTATAATTCAATCAATTTGTTTCTTTCCGCAACTAACTGAAGTAAAAATGTTGAATACATCATAAACACATAAAGCATTGAGATTTCTATCTGTCCATGTAAAACATTTTACTTTTCTCATAGAATTTGATCAACATGAACTTACATAAAACATAAATGTCATCAGAAAAATTCTCATGATACAGTCGAGTGACTGTTCATGATTTACATTGAATAAGAATAAAAACAATTCATTTGAATTATTAGATTCGTCCAAAACTAAAAATAAATGTGATCATTTTTATTTACAATAGATGAAAGTTTAAATCTCGCAATAAAATCATCAGACAGTTGTGTCTGTTCAAAATACACGTAAAAGTCAATCGGATTTCTCAGTTTTTGTTTTTTGGTTCAGATTAATGCATTTAGTTTTACGATTGAAACACGATTTCATACTCGGTTTTTTTTTAGGAATCTTTTCTTAAAATAAACAATAATAATCGTGAACAATGCTAGTAAGTAATAATAGAATGTTTAGCAATATTTCTATTGTTTTGACTGATTCGGTTTTATTCATCTAATAGAGTCCTGATGGTAATGATGACACTCAAATGAGTATTGAAGCTCAGGACAATACTATTAGTAATTATTCTTCGTTTTATATAAGCCATAAGTTTCAATTGTTATATTATAGAATCGAGCAAATAGATCTCAACATTTGATCATGATTTCAAAGACTTCAGGAAATACATTATACTTGTTTTGTATTTTAATCATTGTCAATAACTTATTATTTTGTACTTAGTCAATGATTATACTAAATTATCATAAATAAAGTTTGTTTCTAAAATTATTAATAAACTTATGTTCATATATTTCATTAAGGGTGGGTGTGGGTGTGGGTACGGTGTCGGGTATGAGTGTAAAAAGCAATGGACACCCATACCCACACCCTAATTCAAAGGACCTCACGTCAGTAATTATATCATTATATATGGGAGTGTCCAGTTAGGTAGGATACTCCAATACTTTTTTTATGCATGTAGCCTCTATAATATATCAGAAAAATACGATTTTTATTACCGGTTATAGTAT